AAGTTCGATTCGGTGGAACTTTGCTCGCATGGACTCTAATTGCAGTGAAAATTTCTCGCTAAATTGTGGCATTTGTGAGTCATTAGGAGTCAGCTGTTGGTGGTGGGAGGTTGGCTGGTTGGTTGGTTGATGGTTCGAGGGGTGAGCTCATCGCCGTTTGTGAAATGTCGGCTCATAGCCTTATTACCTTTCTCTGTTCTACTTGCCACAATTTCCCCCTCAATTCCCACCGATTTTTTTTCGTTCTTGCATTTCACGTGAATTGAAAGTCGCCGACCTCGACGGGGCTAAGGGAAAATATAAAACAAAAGGCCAGGCTTGAATTTCTTCAAGTTCTAAAGAAATCTCTTCTGGTTTTTTCGTGTAATACGTGTCTACATGTATTATGCATTTCAATAGCGGAGAGATCATCATCCGGGCCATTGTTATACTGCACTTTCTGACGCAATTTGATTCTGAATAGATGACGTCAGCATGGTGGCTGTGACAAAGTCCAATGCATGCATGACATTTAATGTGTTCTAAGTAGATATGATGCAACCTTTAGTAAGCTATTGTTATAGGTTAATACTATTTATTTAACTGTGAAAGCTTAAAAGTATATCTATCGATAGTTATTGACAAGTGTAAGACATATTTCTGTTACTAACTGTTTTTTTGACATTAAAGTTGGAGTAGATTGTAGTCTTAATTAGAAAATTAGTATGTAAAATGTCTTGCTTTAAAAAGCAAGCGATATCTATAGATTTTAATCGAAAATTAATCAAAATAAATGTTAGAAATTATTTAAACATAAATTGGGAACAAGGAGTAGAAACTTTTCAGATCATCTACTTTCCTTCTTTCGATTATTTTCCAGGCATTGTTTGCAGTCACGAGTCCATCACTATAGCCATAAACTATAGACCAGACTAGATCGACTGATAGACACGCAGCGCCAGAGGCAACTCAGCGGGAGCCTTGCCGACAGTGCCACGTCTAATTAGCACTTAACTGGCCCGAATCGTTTCGGGCTTAGGATAGACAAAGCAATCGACCTACCGACCAACCAACCGACTGGCCAACCTACCGAACGACCGACCGACCCACGTTATTGTATCGATTCTGACGTCAATTGTCTCAAAATTGCGGTGCTGCACATTGTCAATGCAATTAGACCGAGTACAAGCGATAGATCATGATACTAGCCATAGATGGATAATGATGCCCTTGTACCTACTTGAGCATTGGTTATGGATACTTGGACAGACCAGTAAATGAATTGTTCCGGACAACTGTGATTCCAGCGCCAATGTTGATCGGATAGATCATGTAAGAGATCAGGGAAAGACCACAGCAAGTCGCACGTGGCCAGAACACACTTTTGTGTGCCTCAGATAAACATATTGGGAGACCAGACTTAGTCAGATATTTACCCATCCTATGGCTATGGCCATTCTTTTGCCTATGTTATGCAATCATTTTTGTTTTCCCCCAAACGATTGTCTGCTGTTCTTATCTGTTATGTACTGATGATGTCTGGAAAAGTAAATTATTTAACACTACTATTCTTAAGGCTTGTTTTTCCACAACGCCTTTAACCTGAAACTCCCCACACTTGCACAAATATAAAATCGAGTGGTAAAAACCCAACACAACACAACAGCCCGACCAGGCCAATGTGTTTTTTTTATTTATATCTTATCTGTAATGCTTTTTATGGTCTTGTTTATGGGTTCTGCATTTTGTTTTCTTCACTTAAGTTGAGGAATAAAGCCAAACGGCCAGGGGCTCGACAAAAGTCAAGCCATTCGATCCGCACATCGGGCAAAATAAAGCTTCATAAATGTCATTAAGTCATTAAGTTGTCTTAGCAAATCAACTTATCAACCTTATCTTCTTGTTTTTCACAATTTTTTTGGTTCAGACTGTTGGGAATGGTTAGGAAATGTTGAGTCTTCATGATTTCCGAAATGCGAAGAATCGAAAGCTGCTTAGAGACTACCTTTTTTATTGGGGACTTTCCAAGGAAATTTCTTTAAAAACCTAATAAAATCATTGACACCTTCAGCGCATTATCATGGGAACTATAACCCATCAAGGTTTCGCTTACATCTTACCTTGGCTAGAATCTATTTAGTATTTCTTAGCTGATAAGTCTATTCTACTCCCCCCTGCTTTTAGTGTTTGCCGGGGCTGGGGCTGGAATCAATTATTAAATATTAGTATAACCTAAAAACCTTATCACTAGACTAGTCGTTGGCATGGAATGTATGGAACTTAATCATTGGCGCCAAGTTTTCTATTGTTTTTTCCTTACTTTTCTATTTGAAAAGAACTTGTTTTCATCATCGAACAGGGAAAGAGATTAGCACAGAAAATTGGAGCGTGTGAGTGGCTGTCAAGTATTCCCTATAGACTATATAGGCTAAAGATTGCATTTCGTGGAGCTCTGGACAATGGTTATCGCCAGTTTCTGGGACTTATCATCATTTAAATTCGCTTACAGTGAAAAATCGCAAAAGTACGAAGATCAATGACGTCACTTGATTGATAAGTGATAAAAAGGGAAATAAACAAAACAAAAAAAAAAGCGATTGTTTAAGGAAGCAAAACGCTTCCGTGTCATTTCTTATATGCAAACTTTGCATTTGTAAAACAGGAAAAGACTGTCGAAAATAAATTACATTTTATTTGACGGGTCTTTGTTGGGCGTAGGCAACAAATGACTAAAAAATTCATCTCTTTTCATCTGACTCAGCCAAGGAATACGCCACAGAATAATCCGTGAAAATCCGCAGTCCGTAATCCGCAATCTGTGTGCTCATGTCCACTACGTGACAACTGAACCGAATGAGTTTATATACTATATATATTCTATATATATTAATGAAAGCAGATCAAGAAAATGGGAAGTGTCCTAAAATGTGAATGATATGCGACATCTGCCTGGGGTTAGAGAACTTTCCCGAATCAAATTGAGGCTACACCTGGTGGAAAACGTCGAAAGAGACCATCATGACTCAAGAGCCTCTAGTGGAAATAAACTTGTTTTTAATTAATATAATCATTTGTTAGACTTTAAAGTAAACTAAAAAGAAAACCAAAGACGAAGATTTGTCTGGCAATGTGTCACAAAAATAAAAAAAAAACACAAAAAGCTGCCCCAAAGCCAATTTCCATTATGATGATTGAGTTGAGTAATTTCAATAATTATCTCAAAGCAAACAAAATTCTTTTATTTTTTGTGAATTTATTTGCTCATGAATTGGCAAACAATTTATGGCACATTTGAAGTGTGGTATTTGCTGGCGGCTGTTATATGAGATAAGCAATCCCCACACACGCACACCAAACACACACACACACACACACTGAGAATAAAAAACAGTCTGCCATTTTGTAAACAAGACAAAAGCCTGATAAGCGCCGCCGGGAAGGGAGCTCATAAAAATATCAGCCTTAAAGTCTCGTATATAAAATTGTATTTTATTTCTTGGCTCACCAAGGTCAAAAGCAACAACAGAATTAAACGCATAAATTCAGTGGCAAACAAGAGTTAAGAGTAGGAAAACTCAAGACGCTTGGGGAAAATACTTTCACAAAGTGAAATAAAGGGGAAAAACATTTCTAGGTGGTGGCCATCTAGAAAGGAATTTCAAAAACAGAAGAAAGAGAATCGAAATGAAATGCGTTGAAGCGCCCAAAAGAAAGTAAGGGGAGAGAGCAATTGAATTGACCCAAATGACCATTATGGGTGGCAAGTTGCAACTGCAACGGAGGCACAACAGCGGCGCACTGCCTCTCAATTGGATTTCGTGGAAAAGGAAAAGTTGATTGACTTTAAATGAGGCAAAATCAAACAACATCCAGCAGGCAGCCAGTTGCCACAGCAAAACAAAAATGTGTCATCAAGTTCCGCTTGGAATTTTCTACTAAGACAACGCTTGTTACTTTGCTTGTAAGTTATTAAATAAGAAATCTTAATGAAAAATCTTAAAAAATTGTATTTAATACTTGGAATAATGGTATTATTATTGCGCTGTTGGGTTTCCCATGAGATGACAACTTTCTTTTAATTTTTATAAGACACTTTAAGGGGCTTGAACAAGGTTGTTATTAGCAAATAATACCTAATCGATTTTTTGATAGCACATACTTCAAAAATTAGTCTATTAGGCTTGGCAACAACTCTGTCTGGCTATACCAATAGAATACTGTTTTTAATACTGTGAAAAAATCATTGAAACTTTTATTTTGGCTGATTACAAAAGGCGATTACAGACCCGATTAGATTGCCTCACTTAAGATTGTTTTTGGTTTGGTGTTCAGACCATATATATATGGTATGTTAATGGTTTTCCATTCATAACTCTCGACACAGTTCATTTCAGTTCATTGAAAAAGACTCGAAAGCAATTGTCATCTTCATTGTTTTCGAGAGTCTTGGGTACTGGCTTTTAATTGGGTCTAAATATAGAATTCTCAGCCTCCTCCTCGATTGAAATGCCTGCCAACTCAGTACGCAGCAAATTCAATTCAATTGAACTAAATTTGTACTTTATGCTCGTACAAGAGCTGAGAATCTAGAAGGAGGGCCAGCCAGGCAGCCAAGCCACTTGATTGAATTGTATCTTTTTCTGCTCTGAGCAAGGCGCACCACTCGAACATCGCTTTTTGAGTTTCTTATGGCTATTTATGGATTGCTGAGACTGAAGACCTTGCCTAATCGAGATTAAGAATGGACCATCAAGATGCCCACAGCAATTGTGTTGAAAAACAACAACTGTTTTCACGGTCAAAAGTTCAAAACGCTGAAAGCTCACTCCATGACGTCTCTTCTTTCCTTGTTTTTTTGCTTGATAAGAATTATTTTATGACAATTGTTCTCTACCATAAAGATTAACAAAAATTTCATGTTTTTTCGAAGTCTTATCTGCAATTTGGCACTCGCAATTCTGTCTTTTGTGTTAAATTTATGAGTATGTATAAATATCTGCGATAAAACAATTAAAACTTACCATTGCCTGTTCGATTTTGTTATCAATCGCAACTGCACTTGTTCCAGATGCACTGAAATAGAAGAGTAAAAAACTCAGTTAATACAAAGACTAAGTAAGGTTTTTGCAAATAACAGCTAGCCTCCTTCAACTTTTTAATAGCCCCATCATCATCTTGCCAGACTTATCTAACCTCTCAATTAAAAACAAATCAAAAACCTATTTATTAGTTACCTTTTTTTTTTGAATGCCTAAAATCTTTTGCTGGCAGACCTTCGAATGGAAGTTATTTTTGGCAATCTAACCTTGCCGATGACAGCCTCAAATTGAGGTCAATACGACAATAAAACTTCCTCGACTTGGCGGATTTATAAAATAAAAAAGAAAACGCAAATCTCCCCATCTAATTGCAATGCCAAATGAGCAATTAAGTTGTCATAAGACCAAAGTGAAAGATGAATGGTATGAAAAGTGTTCAGACTTTTTGATTCAATTTAAATCCGATATATAATTAATTTTATGCAACCACACAACGGGTTTTCCCCATCTACCCCATACGATTTGACCAATCAAATACGGTTTGGCATATTTCTTTAATTGTTGAATGCAGGCAAAAGTGCAAATTATTACATTGCTCGGTCGATTGGTTGACAAATGATTATGAAACAACTCGGAGGAAAACTAGAAAAGCCATAGAAAATGATAGTTCTAATTCTAAAAAAAAAGTACTACATCTTTAAGCTGCTCAAGAAGTAAAAGTTTTTAGAAGAATTTCTGAAAAATAATAAATATAACAAGCCGAAGGTTTAATACCCTTGCAGATTTCACGAATGAAAATTTGACTGAAATAGCAACAGGAATTAAAATGCAGTTTTCACTCGTATTGTTCCTATGGGAGCTATAGGATATAGACAGAGATGAAACAGACGGACATGGCTATATATACTCCCCTATTGATCCTGATCAAGAATATATATACTTTATGGGTTCGGAAACGTCTCCTTCACTGCGTTACAAACTTTGCAAGGGTATAAAAATGTCTTTAAGATAAGGAATAATCCGGAGTAATAAATCTAACATTTCATTAAAAATACAACCAATTTCACCAACTCACCAACACATTTATATTTTACTTTTTATATATTTCTTTTATCATTTTATCAATCACAATGGATTTGATTTGTGCTTCGAAAATGCCTTCCCAACGCAATAATTTCTAATTATAGAAATGGCCTGATACTATGGAGTGTGTCATTACACATTATGAAGGAAGGGAGTAATGAGTCATGAGGTGGGAATTCTTAAAAGGTTGCCCAAAGAAGAGGCTTGGCATAAGTTATAAATCGTAATTATTTCGTATTATTATAATAATATTAAGAGTTTCATTAAAATTTCTTATAACATTAAAGCTATTAATACTATAAATTGATGTGCAAATTGGTAAAAGAAGCTCAGCTAGTAGTTTATTTTATTTCTTTTTCTATTAGTACATAAAATTACAGTATATAATTTCAAGAAAAAAATTAAAATTTACTTAAATTATTTACATCTTTTCTGTGTTTATATATATATAAACACCCTGTGAAAAATAAAAAACCACATCAATGGACATTTATGATTAAGACATCATGATGTTTTTAAGGCTTTTGCTGAAAAGCATTTTATTTAAATAAAAAAAAGAGGAACGAGATGGATTTGCGGCCTGCAAAATAATTAAAGTCAAAATCAACTGGGAGGCAATAAAAAAAAAAGCGAAAAGAGGGGCATGCAACCGCAGGAACCGAACAACATTACGAGAGTTTCATTTTCAGAAACAGATGGGGAAAACTTGTGACTCTACACCCTGAGTTAGCTGGCAAGGACGAAAGTTTCTTAACCTGCCTTCGGGAGGCGTCAAGGGAACTTAGTTTACGACTTTCTATATCACATCTCTCGCCTTGCCCGGGAAAATAAAAGTAAAAGTCTCGCCTTTTTGCATCCAGACGAGCACACGAGAGTGCAATGACTCATGTCGTGACTTTTGTTCTCTTTCTTTGGGCTATGGAAAAATAAACAAAACAAATAATACAACATTTATTCGCCAATGTCATTTCGGACACCGGTCAATGGCGTCTTTATCGTTGTAGTTGTTTATATTTATTTTTGTTTTTATTCTTTTTTTTTTGTTTTTACTGGACACGCGGAGTTTCTGGCGAAAATTCGTTTTCGCATGGCCATTAATTTTAATTCGTTCGATAATGAAATGGAGAGCAATTTGAACAAATAACACAGTTAATTATTTGTCGGTGAATGGGCGTATAAATTATATATGGGTTTCGGTTCAGTTGGGGAACTTTTAAATATGCATTAAAGTTAAACCAGACCTAATTTAGTACTTTAAATTGAAAATAAACAAGGACAGAGAATGGTAATTAAGTTAATTTAACAAAAATTTGGTTATGGCCGTGTTTAATTGGGTTATAAGGAAGTTAATACTTCAAAAATATGGTCTATGTAAGCAGCTTATCTTCTTACTAATGCTAATGAAAAGAATTTACTAAAAATTCCTAAGAAACTCAAACTTCTTCATAGTAAAGACGACTTCTTTCTGATAGTGCCTTCAAAATTTGAAACTACTAAAAACTAAAGCAATCCCGCACAGCTGGTGGCAGGCAGCATCATCATCATTAGAGCAGCGATTGTTGTTTTGCTTCGTTATCATCTCTCCAGGTGTTATCAGCAGGCCGTCAACATAATAATATTAGACATGGTAAGAACATGGGAAGGCAGACAAACAAAAATAAAGAAAGAAAGGAAATATAAGAGATAGTAAGGGGGAATGAAGGCAAAAAATCACGCAACGGGCAACAAATTAAACACAAAACACTCTATACTAGCATATATGTACATACATTTTCATTATACAAAAGCACCCAAAAAAAACAACGAAGAAAACGAAGAAAAGTGCAAAGTTTATTAAGGTTCAAAACGCCGCCATCGAAAGCTCGTAAAAATATCAGTGATGTCATTTATTTATTTACTTTTTTGTGGCTCTGCTCTTTGTGCCAATTTAAAGATTATTTATTTACTTGGCATTCGGCAGCCAAAGTGTGGTTTATGCTAAATTTTTGTTTTGTATTATTTATCCGGTCACGTGATGTTAAGTTTAAGTTTGCATAAGAAGAGAAAAATGTGTCATTGACAAAAAAAACAGAAATGCAAATAACAAAAATACGAAATTAATGCAAAGTAAACGAAAAATGGCAGCTTAAGAGAAGGAGAAAGAGTTGATTGAATGAAAACTAATAAAAAATATTCTCAAATGATTTTCCTCGCCTCATTTTTAATCCCTAACTTGTTGATTAATTCAAGATAATCCCTAGACTTTTTCAGTTGGCGCCTCTTCCTAAACGTGCCACTTTTTCTTTTGGTTTCCCATCGCCAATTGCTGAAGTCGAATTACAATCGCCGCCAATGAGTCGTCTCGAAAGCAATCGAATCGATCTGAATAAGCGCATTATGTGTGAATGAAAGTCTGGCCAAGTGCCAGGCTAATCCCTTGATGAATGTCGCTGCTCTTTGGCATTTTCTCCCCGTCTATTTTCATTCAAAATATCAACATACGATGACTTCTTTCGATTTTTGGGATTCACACATCTTTAACTCTAACCATTTTGCACATACACATTTCCGAAATTTTAAACTTGCGGATGCCGATTCAGCGATTCTCTCTTAAAATACAAATTACTTGCCCAGCAAATGCCCTCCGCTGACTTGCCAAAATCGAACAATGCAAAAAAAGAAGCAAAACTGTTTTCAGGCGCATTGCTGATGTAAGCGAAAAGAGAACTTGGCATACATATTCGCCATTCCGAATCCCTCGATGATTTCCCGTCACTCTGGCATAGCATGGCTCTGTTTTTTTTTTTTGTTATTTTCTTGAAGTGTTTATTTGCATTTAGAGGTCTCAAGAGCTGGGAACGATGACACTTGGTTTACGACTCCAGGAAGTTGGCGAGCGAAAACAAAACACATCGTAAAAATTGTTGAGTAAAATAGAAACAATAAACGATCGGAAAAACGGGAAGTGAATTTATAACAAAGTTTCGGGAGCAAAGAGGAAGCATTTTCGAAGATGAATAAAAAGTTTATATAATTAATTTGTCATGGGAAAGTATATCTAATGGATATCTGATGTTGTTTTGGTAAAAATTTAACCAAAAGATTTCCAATTCTGTAGATAAACTAAAACTAAAATCATACTTTTACTGTACTACTCTATTTTCTTAAGCTCATAAACACACATGTTTTCCAAAGAACAAAGGAAGTTTTTTCACAAAGCAAACAATAGCGGCAACTATAAAAATGAAATCATCAAAACCTCAAGTCTACATAATGAGCAAAATAAATAAAAAACAAGGGATTAAATTGCCCCTGACCCAAATTAAAATCGCAATGAAATAAGCATCTATATATAGAAACGGCCAAAAGGGTTCGCAAAACAGTCGGTTCCGTAAAAAAAACTCCTAAAAAGAGAGTCAGTAATCGAAAAAAGAGTAGATTAAAGTGGTCCAAGACCAAGACCGGTTCATTTTTACCGCCTTTTCTTTGTAGGAAGCCTTAAAGTGCCAACGAAACCGCCGAAGAAATGTCGCCAACTTGGCAGGCTTCATAGTAAGAGGCGCGTGGCAGATATGCATGCTCCCGCCCGCCGCCTTTCTCCTGAATTTTCCCCCTAAAACGCCCATGCAAACGCAACTTTGCAACAAGTTGCCTAACTGGACGTAACGGACCAAAAAAAAAATGAGGTCAGCGCAAAAAATAGTATTTTATCCAACTAACGATGCGTTGGCCCGTTTTCCCGATGATGTAAGACCCCAATGGACAGGACAGGAAGCGGGCCAGTAACCAGTCTTTTTTCATATATAATTCGATTATACGGTACAGTTTGAAGTAGAGATTTGCCAAAGAAATATCCTACGGGGATTAGTCACAAATGTGCCAAAATAAAACCATAATATCTTAAGAGATCAAGCATAAATAATCTCTGATCCACAGAGAACTTAATTTGCCTATATAATTAGAGTTCGTTGC